TGTCATCACTAGTAGGAATGAAAATTTAGTGACATCATCAAAACAATTTGCCACAATGAAGTTTAGTCTCAGAATTGGATGAAATTCGCATATTTGATGTAAAATGGTGCGATTTACAAAACTCCCAGCTTCGGCGTAACGTACGGTGTTTTTCGCCATTCGAGGCTGTTTAGGGCCTCAAAATGACGTTTTTCTATTTTTATAATTTTCTGAAAAAAAATTTATCATTTATTCACAAATGAATATAACATTAATAAATATATATATGCTTATATAATTATTTTATTAACCTAGAAAGATTAGTTGTATGTGAATAAATATATATTCTTATCAAATATGTTTTTTTATCTTTAATTTTATATATTTTATAGTCCTCGGTTTTATTGACAGTTTTATTCATTTGTGAATAATATATATATATATATATATATATATATATATATATATATATATATATATGTTCACATTTAATTATAACATATATATTCATTTGTCAATATTACATATGTTTATATGCGGATATAATTCTTATATGTTATTCACATATGAATTACAAACTTACTTAGGATCTTAAAATGACGTATTACTTGTATTCATTTATGAATATTACCTGTACTCATTTGTGAATATTACATGTATTCGCATGTGAATATATATTTTTATATATTATTCACATATCAATTACATACTTGCTCTGTGTTTTTAAAAGATATACATTGATTCTCGTATAAAGACATATTCACTTGTGAATATTACGTGATATATTTAGTTTATGCATTTCATCGAACAATTGGCGTGCAAATAAATTAACTTATATAACTATGGTAAAAAATTCACAATTGAAGCCAATAATTACAAAACAAATCAAATCCTATCAAAATCGATTAATAATCAATAGATTTATATAAAAATTGTGAAAAAAATGTATAAAAAACAAATTTCAAACTTGAAAAACGATTTTTAAAAAAATCTTCAAATATATGGTTATGTTGATGAACTTTCGATTGCTACCTATTGTTTGATATTGGCGAAGGTTCCATTGATGACGTTTCGATGATTTGTGATCACTAAATGATGTGATATCGATAAATATGGATTATTTTAACGATTTTGCTTGATGTCAATGAAACTGGATAAGATTGAATCACGAGTTACACTTAGTAGTACAAATAAATGTTTTTAATGACGAATCACAACATTTTGATGAATAAACGAAGATTTTTTATGAAGACTTGATGTTTTTATGAAGTGTCGATGTCTTTTTTTATGAAGAACATGTGATTTTGATAGTGAACAAGTAGTAGAATGTATGATGTTGATTAAGAACATATGATGTTGTATGATGTTGATGAAGAACACAGAGGAACAATCGAGATAAATGAATAACAAATGGTGTTGATGAAGAATAGATAAACGATGCTGAAGAAATGATATCTGTGATTGAAGGTTAATATATCATATTTACAAATTTGCCACCGTGTAATTGATGTTAATATGTTAATTAAATGATTGGCTAAAAATGATTCCCCCATTCTCAACCTTTTTTATTTTCTCAATTAAAGTTACCTCTCTCTCTCTCACTCTCTCTCTCTCTCTCTCTCTCTCTCTCTATATATATATATATATATATATATATATATATATATATATATATATATATATATATATATATATATATATATATATATATATATAGAGTCAAGATCAAATAAGAAGGAAATTTTTGGTAGGAAGGTAAGAAGTTTTTTCTACATATTTTTTTCGCGAACAAACAAAATAAATCATTAGATGAGTCACAAGAAAAAATTCTCAAAAAAACATCTCGATGATTCATTTATATAATGATTTTGTTGTTATTCACTAAAATTATCATAAAAGTAGATTTTTTTCTTAATTTATTTAAAAATGAATCATATAGATGTTTTTTTGAGAATTTTTTCTGTTGAATCATCTTATAAATGAATCATCTAGTGATTCATTTTTTTTTTCGTCAAAAAAATATGTAGAAAAAAAAACTTCCTACCTTCGTACAAAATTTTTTTTTTACCGGATCTATATATATATATATATATATATATATATATATATATATATATATATATATATATATATATATATATATATATATATATATATATATATATTCAGTATCATTTGAGACCATTATAATTTTGTTAGACCGTGAGAAAAAATCTAAAAATAATTTTAAAATGCAAAATAAATGGAAAAATCCAAAAATTCTTCTTTTAAATATTATTTTCGGAACTTTAGTTTACTAAAAAAAAATTTTAAAAAAAATCCCCTTTTTTTTAAAAAAATACGTAAAATATTCTAAATAGAATATTACACTGATATATTCTAAAAAATAATTTTAAAATGCAAAATAAATGGAAAAATCTAAAAATTCTTTTTTTAAATATTATTTTCGGAACTTGAATTAACTAAAAAAAATTTTTTTTAAAAATCCTGTGTTTTTTTTTTTTTAAAAATACGTGAAATATTCTAAATGGAATATTACACTGACATATTCTAAAAAATAATTTTAAAATGCAAAATAAATGGAAAAATCTAAAAATTCTTTTTTTAAATATTATTTTCGGAACTTGAATTAACTAAAAAAATCCTTTTTTTTTGAAAAATACTTGAAATATTCTAAATAGAATATTACACTGTACATATTCTAAAAATAATTTTAAAATGCAAAATAAATAGAAAAATCAAAAAATTCATTTTTTAAATATTATTTTCGGAACTTGAATTAACTAAAAAAATTTTAAAAAAAATAAAAAAAAAAATGCGTCTCACGGTCTTACAAAATTAGACCGTCTCACATGAATCTAACCCTATATATATATATATATATATATATATATATATATATATATATATATATATATATATATATATATATATATATATATATATCTTCCTATCTAATAAAAGAATAGTTTTATTTTGATTTTGACATGTGTCATCTTATTAAGCATCTTAATTAATGCATATTGTATTTACCTTTTGTGATGTGTCATCCTATTATATCTCCTAATTAATACATTTCATTTGTAAACCTATTGATTCTCCATTTCAAATTTTAAATTTTAAATTTCTCACTCTAATTACATTAAATTAATAACATTAGAATAAAAATTAAAATAAACTTAATACAAATTATAAAGTGATATTATTTCACATTTTTTTAAATCAATGATTAAAATTTATATAACTAAAAAATCTCTTAATTAATAATTTATTTAAAATAATTGATTAATAATTTTTAGATTTTATTTTAAAAGTTTAATTAATTGTATAACCATGGTTCCCATGGGTTATAAATTAGTATATATATATATATATATATATATATATATATATATATATATATATATATATATATATATATATATATATATATATATATATATATATATATATATATATATATATATAAAACAGTAAGTTATTGAATTCTATGGTATTTTGAAAAGTAATGGATAATAACGCCTCATGTTGTTTACCGAAATTCATTTATATCTTGTGCGTATTCTTTGAAATCATTCTCCATTTTCTCTCTTGGAAATAAATGAAAAATTCATGATTGCATTTATAACAGCATTTGACTCATGATAAACATAGACACCAGCCTCCACCTCCATCTCCCCTTCCTCCTCCATCCGTCTTACTGTGTGTAAGTTGCCCTCTTCTGGTTCACAAACCGAGAATGAGAAAAGTACAAAAATGGTGTTATAACTCTGCACCTAAGGTGTTTGTGATTTTGCTTGTGAGAAAATTAGTATTGCTTTAATAATATACATTTCAAGTTTTAACATTACGTTATCAAAGTTGCAAAAGTCGCCATGTTTTTAGGAAAATTAAGTATGACCAGTATCTGCATTATGTACATTCAAACAGTGTTTTGTACTTTCTAGGATTCACTCTACACATTCTGCCTTATCTCGCTGGAAACATTCTTGTTTATATGAAATGAATATGAGACTAAAGATACATTTTGAAAGCAGTTGAAATGGGTAGAGGTCTAAACAGGCATTATTTTTAGGGACATATATGATGTGAAAGATTAAAATTTTGTTTAACACACTAGCATTACTGCATGTTGTTCATGAGTTCATGGAAGATTTCTCTTTTCCCATGCTAAAAGTCTAGGAATCAGTAGTTACTCCACTGGAAGAAATAGGGATTTACACCCCAAGTTATGCGAAGATAATAATTTCTTCAATCTATAATAGGGTTCCAAAATAACATAAAAGGTGATAAGAAAATTTGTACACATATTGTAGATGCTATTTGAGTCTCTTAGTAAAGCCATATCAGTCAAGAAGAAACAAAAAATAAATGTATATGGGTGACATTGGGTGTAATGTGCGTTTTTTTAGTTGTAGTGGTCTCTAACTACTAAAGCACTTCTGATGTACAAAAAATAACATACAAAAAACTTACACCAAAACAATGTTATGATGTGCTCCTTATCCAAAAGTGGTTAATTAAATTGTAAACTGTCATCCATTGGTAATAAATCTCAATATAGACAGATGACATTATTTTTATGGAATCGGATGATAACTAGCACCTATAGTAGCTAATGGGAATGTATAACAGAATGTATTATAATAAAAATTCCGATCATTAGCATTATGAAAATCGTTAAAACAATGGTTGGATTAATATTCCTGTTTTAATTAATTTCTTGTTAGATAATAGACAATGCTTTAGACTTTCGGATTCAGACATGCTTATCCATTGAAGAATGGTGAAATATAATAAAAAGAATGTCGTGTTCATGGGTAAAGATGAAAGATACAAACTACCTACTCCCATCTTTTATTCATTTATTACCTTATTGGTCAATGGTGTTTCGTATAGTAGTGTTAGCCAATTTGAATATTCAAATCAATAATAGAAACACTAACCATACAAATCAATTGCAAAAACCATTAAAACCAACTGTTAAAGTGATCATCTTTTACGTCCTATCACCATAATCCATGGCTGAAATCGTTATCTCTGCTTTCCTCGCTGTTGCTTTTGAGAAGTTGGCCTCTGGAGCTTTGAAGAAACTTGCTCACTCTGTGGGGATTCAATCCCAGCTGAAGAAATGGGAGAGGCTATTATCGCAACTCCATGATCTTCTGTCTGACGCTTCTCAGAAGGAAATAACTAATAGATGTGTGAAACAGTGGTTAAATAGTCTCCAACATTTAGCTTATGACATAGACGACATACTCGATGATTTGGCAACTGAAGCTATGCATCGTGAGTTGACCGAAGAATCTGGAACAACCACTAGCAAGGTAAAAAAGCTTATCCCAACTTGTTGCACAAGTTTCTCACTAAGTGCTAGGATGCATGGAAAGTTAAATAAAATCACCATCAAGTTACAAGATCTAGTAGACGAAAATCGTACTCTTGGGTTGACTGTGAAAGATGGAAAGTCAAGAAATACAAATAGAAGATCTCAAACTTCTTTGGTAGATTCATCAAGTATTGTTGGAAGACAAGTTGATAAAGAGGCTTTGCTCCACAAGCTATTGGGGGATGAAGGATGTAAACAAAACTTTAGCATCGTGCCCATTGTTGGCATGGGTGGGGTAGGTAAAACCACTTTGGCTAGACTTTTGTATGACGAAAAGCAAGTGAAGGAACATTTTGAACTCAAGGCGTGGGTTTGTGTTTCTGATGAGTTTGATATCTTCAATATAAGCAACATTATTTTTCAATCCGTAGTCGGGGAAAACAAAGAGTTTAAGGATTTAAATCTGCTTCAAGTAGCTTTAAAAGAGAAACTCTCAATGAAACGATTTCTACTCGTTCTTGATGATGTATGGAGCGAAAGCTATGGTGATTGGGAAATTTTAGCACGACCATTTCTTGTAGGGGCACCGGGAAGTAAAGTTATCATCACAACTCGGAAGTTGTCATTGCTTATGCAACTCGGTTATGATCAACCATATCGTTTATCCTTATTGTCACATGATGATGCTTTATCTTTATTTTGTAAACATGCATTGGATGTAAATAACTTTGATTTACATCCGAAACTTAGACAACATGGTGAAGGTATTGTGAAAAAATGTGATGGTTTGCCTTTGGCTTTGATAGCACTTGGGAGATTGTTAAGGACAAAAACGGATGAAGAAGAATGGGAGGAGTTGTTGAATAGTGAGATATGGAGCCTAGAAAAGGGTGATGAGATTGTTCCCGCTCTTAGGCTAAGCTACAAAGATCTATCTGCCTCTTTGAAGCAGTTATTTGCATATTGTTCCTTATTCCCTAAGGACTACGTGTTTCACAAAGAGGAGCTTATTCTTTTATGGATGGCAGAAGGATTTTTGCACCAATCATTTTCCAACAAGTCAACAGAACGCTTGGGTCATGAATATTTTGAAGAGTTGTTATCAAGGTCTTTTTTTCAACAAGCACGTAATGAGAAATCATTGTTTGTGATGCATGACTTGATGAATGACCTTGCAACATCTGTTGCTGGAGACTTCTTTATACGGATTGACAATGATAATGAGAAAGGTGTCAAGAAGGAAGCTATGGAAAAGTATCGGCATATGTCTTTTATTCGTGAGGAATATATCGTTTACAAGAAGTTCAAGGGATTTGAAAAAGCTAAGAGTTTGCGAACATTCTTATCGGTGTCATTCGAGGTGAAAAGATGGTGGCAAAACTTCTACTTCTCTAATAAAATTCTAGTCGATTTCCTCATGGAGTTGCCATTGTTAAGGGTTTTATGTTTGAGAGATTATGAGATAACCGAGTTACCAGAGTCAATTGGTAGATTAAAGCACTTGCGATATCTTAATTTATCTCGAACTAGAATCACACATTTGCCTGAAAACGTCTCCAACCTTTATAATTTAGAGACACTGATCGTTTCTGGGTGTCGTAATTTGAAAAGGTTGCCCAACAGCTTCGTAAAGCTTAAAAACTTGCGCCATTTTGACATTACAGGTACTCCGCTTTTGAATAAAATGCCATTAGGGATCAGTGAGTTGAAAAGCCTACAAATTCTCACCAAGATTGTTATTGGAGGAAATAATGGCTATGCAATAACCGAGCTTAAAAACTTAAAGAATCTACATGGAAAATTTTACATCACAGGGCTGGATCAAGTGCAAAACGCAATTCATGCAGAACAATCTTGCTTATTGGAAAAGAGGTTTAGTGAGTTAAAGCTGGAATGGAATGATGTATGCGATAGCTCTAGGAAGGAAATACTCGATAAAAAGGTCCTTAACGTGTTGAAGCCTCATCAAGATAACTTGAAAAAGCTCAAAATTCTGTCATATCGGGGTGTAGATTTTCCAAATTGGGTGGGGGATTCCTCGTTCCATCGGTTGACTTATGTGTCCATAAGAAACTGTAAAAAATGCATTTCTCTACCACCACTTGGACATCTACCATCACTTAAGAAGTTGTTTATTCAAGGCATGGATGAGGTGAAAGTAGTAGGTTTGGAGTTATTGGGAACAAGTGTTTCATTCCCTTCACTTGAAATTCTAAGTTTTCGAGATATGCAAGGGTGGGAGATATGGTCAACAAATTCTGTTGTTGTAGATACAATGTTCCCATGTCTTCAAGAGCTTTGCATAGACGATTGTCCTAATTTGGTTGAAATCTCGCTTAAGTCGCTTCCAAGACTAAATACTCTTAAAATAATCGGGTGTGATAATGTTGTGTTGACAAGTCTAGTTCATGTAGCTTCATCGATCAAGATATTGGAAATGTGGCATATTTTTGGGCTTTCGAATGAGCTTTGGGGAGGTGTTATGAAGTATCTTTGGAAAGTTGAAGAAGTAAGAGTCAATTGGTGTAACGAAATAAGATACTTGTGGGAATCTGAAGTAGAGGCAAGTAAGTTTCTTATAAATTTAAGGAAGTTGGTAGTATGTGAATGTGAAAATTTGGAGAGTTTGGGAGAGAATGAGGAGGATAATTGTGGGACCCATTTAACATCTCTTCGGATCTTGGAGGTATCATTTTGTAAAAGTATGGAGCGTTGTAGTTGTCCGGGTAGCGTTGAGACCTTGAATATCTCATCATGTCCTTCATTGAAATCTATATTCTTCCCAACAGGAGGACAAAAGCTCAAGTCACTTACCATTGATGATTGTCAGAATTTCTTGGAAAAAGAATTCATTGGTGGTGGAGGAGGAGGAGAGAAGACTATAATGCTTAGCAATACAAGCATGCCGATACTTGAAGATTTAGAGATAATTTGTTGGCCAAATTTGAAGTCAATCATTGACTTGAGCTACTTCGTTTATCTTACCGAATTGGTTATAGAAGATTGTCCAAATATGGAGTCATTTCCTGATCACGAATTGCCAAATCTCACATTCTTAAAACTTTTGGTGATAAAAAATTGTCCAAGTACCAATGCTTCCTTTCCTCATGGGCTTTGGCCTCCAAACTTGTGTACTCTCAAAATAGGGGGGTTGAAAAAGCAAATCACAGAGTGGGGTCCACAGAATTTTCCAACCTCACTTGTTGATTTATCATTATGGGGAAGATCATCGGAAGATGTGAGTAATGGCAGTGAATTGTCCCATCTTCTTCCTTCATCCCTTACTTCTTTTGGCATAAACGGATTTGATAAACTAGAATCACTTTCAATGGAACTCCAACATCTCACTTCCCTCCAACATCTCTTCATTCACAAGTGCCCAAAGATGATTCATCTACCAAAAGCATTGTTGCCTTCACTTTTGAGTTTGGACATCTCCGGATGCCCGAATTTGAATGAAATGATTAGTAGAAGAGGCTCTTACCGATGCCTCATCTCTGGTATCCCCTCAGTCACAACAATATGAAGGTATGCAAAAAAAATTGTTTAGATAATTGGTATAGTTTTCTCAATTAACAAATGGTTAATTTTATCTTACCATAACTATGTATTTGATCATAAATTTGTTTGGCTCAGTATCTAGCTAATTGTTAACATAAATCTGTTTTTTGACTTGTTAAACGTTACTATTCTATTTGTTTGTGAATATGATTAGATATGCCGGTATGGACGGATCTAGTACCATGGAATGCAAAATGAATTTTATTGGTTACCAACTTATATACTTCAAACTACAAAAATACATTCTTTTGAATTTCCGTAATAATTGGTGAACTGTGATTTTTGTAGAATTTTCTATATTTTAGTATGGTTGTACAAACTTAAAATTGAAATAATTATAGTAATAATTTAATAAATTACATAGAATCAATAGATTTAATATGTAAAAACCTGAATATAAATAAAGGTTCTATTTAATATGTAAAAACCTGAATATAAAACTGCAGTACCCAATTTCTACATGTTATCACAACAATTAGCACTACAAACTACAATTTCTACATGTTGTCACAACAATTAGCACTACAAACTACGGAGAGTGTACTCACACTCCATTACTCACTTTTCTTCCACTAACTCACATTTCATTCACCAAAAGTCACCAAATTGTTTCCTTTTACTTTCTTTTATTTTTTTATTTTTATTTTTTTAAATTATACTAAATTATATTCATTTTATAAAGAATTAAAAAATAAATTTAATATACTTTTTATAATTTTTTTAGTATGTATACATTTTAATATATATATTAAAAAATAAAAAATGCAATAGAAAATACAATGAAATGCTACCAGCCAATGAAATGAAGAGAGATGGAGCACGGAGGATACTCCTCACCCCCCCCCCCCCTAAAGTGCACTTGGGGTGTGGTGTGTGTGGTGTTCATGGGTGTCGTTAAGCTTCTATCACCCCTGCCATAAGGCATACCCTCCCGCCTAATATGTTGTATGTTGAAGGATCCATTAATTTGACTTATACTTTCACGGTAACTAGCTAAATGTTGAATTTCAAACAATTTATAACTAAATAATTTGATAATCAATATTGAGAACTGCTTAGGAAATCGTTAAGAATATCAACAAAATGATCAAATATTTATTATTGATGATTAAATATCCAATTGTTACGTCAAAGTGTGAAAAATAAGATGGATAATAGTAAGAACTAAATGTCGGTCTTTCATAAATAATAAATCAATTTATTATTATTAACATTACCAAGTTTCGTCCAGAAATTAGATAGATCCTTTGAGATCATATATCATCATAACATGGCTTTAGGAGAGTCATATTCATACTTATGGAAATGCTAGTAACCTCCAATAAAACCTCATCGGCTCCTAGTGACACGGGTAAGCAACAGTACCAGAATTCCCAAGCTAAGCCGCCACCATTTATATTAATATGGGATTGTAACATCCCAAAATACGAGCCAAAAATTTCATTTTTGTAAACATATTTTTAACAAAACATTCGAATTAAAAACATTTGTTGATCATAGTATTTGAATAAAATATCGCATGTCTGGAAAACACTTCAATAAACATAATAATGTCAGAGTACGAATCCCCAGGAACTTCTCATGATGCGGAATACGAAGCATGTGTGTTGTGACAACCCGAAATCTATTCCGTCAGTTTTAACCTTTTTCCGTTAAAAGCTTCGTTTTATTTAACTGTCCGTTAACCTTTTGGAAGAGGTTAATTATATGGGGACTTTTATAATGACATGGTAAGGGTCGAAACAAATTAGAAACACCCACATAATGCCCTTAAAAATGTCTAGTCACAACCAAGTCAAAATTTGACCGTTTAATCGGGTGCGACCAAAAAGCCCCGTATAACGGCAATATTGGGTAGAATTTCACTAAGCTCCAACTCCCACCCATATATAAGGGGGAGTAAACTCCATTTGAGCCTTTTCCACCCTGTCTCTCTATACTCTCTCTCTAGACTCGTTTTTGACCTGAATTAGCAACCAAACGCTTCCAAATTGTAAGTCCACTTACCATAGCTTGTTCTAAACATTATGAATCGTGATTATAGCCTAAAATTGTAAGTCCACTTACCTGAATACTAACAACACCAATGTTAGCAAGGTGCCTATTGGGATTTCCGATCCTACCAATGGATAGCAATAACCAACACCTTCATACCCAGCCACCCAAGAACCTCACTCAAATCCACGGAAGAGAAAGATCAAGATTGACGAGGGAAGTACCTCGGCTTAAGGACCTTCTGAAGGGTAACGAGATGAGATGGTCAAATTCCGTACCAACCCTTCCATCCCTACACCTAGGAGACCATACTTAGGAAACCTTCCCCATTGCAGCAAGTGCAGCTACCATCATCATGGTGTCTACCGGGAGGTCTATTGTGCTAGGTGCCACATGTTGGGGCATACTGCTCGCATCTGCAGAACCCCGGTTGAGTTCATTACATCAACCGCCAATGTGGCGACCCGTACAGTTTGCCACCTATGTGGTGAAATGGGACACTTCAAAAGGGACTGCCCAACCGAAGGGAAAGATAAGGACACAGGAGGAGCCTAACTCTACTACTTAAAGAGAAGCATCAAGGAACCCAGTAGATTTTTGGTACGTCTCTCAATCTCAGATAACTAAACCGAAAACATTAAAAGACTAATTCAAAATGTAAATATTTTCCCATTAAGGCGAAAGTCGCAGCACTGTATAAAATTTAAAATTCCTCCGGTAAAACTATAATGGCTAAAAGATACGTTACGGCCATGTATAGTTAGGATGGATAGACCAAGAGTGAGTGAATGTCGCCTCATTTCCTGCTCCTCGTTTGGTTGTGGATTTAGGGCGGAGTCGCTCAGTCAACAGTCCTCCCCACCTTAATTATACATGACTAGTATATGTTAGGCAATTATAGAAATACCTTGTGAAAATCCATTCATGAAAAAGGTACTCTATTCAGAACACTTAGGACTCTCTATAGTTCCGCGTCGATTCGATCGGTCCAAGTATCCGCGACAGTGATACGCAGGACGAAACCCAAGACGCTTAGAACTACTGTGCCTGTTCGGCACATGACTCTATCGATCTTCATTTTATATCATGTCGAGGTATGCCAACTTCGACGACTCTATCGATCATGGTTTGACTTCGTTCAGCCATGTGTAAATCCTTAGTGCTGTGTAAAAAGAACTTTCTCCGTAGCCCTTTTCGGCAAATAAAGGTTCTTCCGAACCTAAACATAATACAACTAAATAAACCTAATGCGATCCGTCAGTCGTCCTTCTATTTCAAACCTTCCGAAGTACCCAGTAGAGGGGTACCGCGTGCTGTTAACCAACCCTCCTTAGACAGATAAGAACCGAATCGAAAGGCACTGCATGCATTCTAGAAGATGATAACCACCCGAAGCATACCTAGTAGATTCCCTATAAAGACCCTTCATCCTCTCTCACGGAACAGGAGCTAGAGTCAAGAGAACCCTACGGATTGAGCTACTATAATGACCACAAATCCGAAGTTGTTGTCATTCCGCTTGAGCCAACCTAGTAGCTAACACCCTCGGTTGATAAAGAAACCTGAGTCGTAAGAGACAAGGACATGGACTACGACCATCCATTCACGCTTAATCCCCCGAATAAGCATCGCGGCGAATATCCCGGAAACCCGAGAGCTGCGATAAAGTAAACTCTAAGAAGAGTGGATGAAAAGATTAAAGTTCCGAGTGATGGGAACCTATACTCACTAGATTTGACCTAGACCAAGAAGACTCAAAACCTTCGGAAGAGTAGTGGTAGTAGAAGCTCTCACTACTATGGAACTTCGTCCATCCTGTTATAGACAAGTAGTGCCTATCATCCTCCACCCTCTCGCATGGAGGAAATCGTCGTCACCCTGTAGACGATCAAATACATTGTCCGAAGTGAACACTAGGATACCGAGAACCACAAGATAACCTCCACAGCCAAGAATACTTGATCAAGGTGCGAAAGTAGTTGCGTTAAGCCTCATGACCCATGTCCCGAAGAGATTATAGACTTGACACCAGCCTTGGTGTTAGTCGAAGGGTTATGTAGGAACATGCGCTTTCCGCACTAGAATAAACCAAAGTCTTAGAGAATTCATTGGACTATTAGGTGTTCCACAAATACTATCTCACACAGAAATAGTAGCACCACCTCCTAAGATAGTCCAACACTCGTCTGGTGAAACCCTATCTCCCTGACTCTCAGGGTTTCCGTATCTCAAGATTCTTTAGTGCAGGTTCATTTTGCACCAGCTTGAGATAGACACTCTATAGAGAACAGATAACCATAGTCACTCAACCCACTCGACGACCTAGAAAGTCTCTATCAGCCAGTTGACAGGAACCGAGAGACCAAATACCACCCGAGCTTCCTAAGAACCAACCTAAAGGACTACACACCCAGTACGAGTGAGAACGTTAGGAACTTCGGAATGGCAATCACGCCAGTGATGATTTCACCATAGGAGTACACTATGTTCTGAGTACTGAAAAAACTCTACCATTACGAGAGCTTAGGACCATCTGAGAATCCTCATGGAGACTTGGTCCAACCCTTTTCAGGCCGCTACTACCTTCGGATATTCCACAAGTTTCACACGAGATCAATCCATCCTGATGGAAACCATTGAAAAATCTACCCTCGTAGATACACCAGTCGGAACACACTAGCTACACGAGACGAAACCCGCATCCCGTACGTGGAGGTCTGTTGGAATGACAAACACAGACCAGAGTTCACTTGGGAATGCGAGGACAAACCATATAGGAAGTACTCTCTTACCTCTACTTGGCTATTCATACCTACTTCCTTGCCTAAACCTGAATTTCGGGACGAAATTCCCTCTAATGGGGGGATGATGTGACAATCCGAAATCTATTCCGTCAGTTTTAACCTTTTTCCGTTAAAAGCTTCGTCTTATTTAACTGTCCATTAACCTTTTGGAAGAGGTTAATTGTAT